ATAAACTTCACGTCCAAAAATTTCTGAATCAAGATCACGAACCATTGATACACCAACAAGTGGATCAACTAAAATAATTTTATTTCAATTCATTATATGCTGTTTTTCCTTATTCTTTAAGAACTTATAAAAATTACTCTGTTTAAGTTTTCTTTTTTTTTTCCAACTGACCATTAAAACATATCAAAGGAGTATAACTCTTCCTCGGAAAAAAAAACTTCCTTGGGAGGAGCACTGCACAGGATATTATAGAAGACGTCCTTTAATTTATTGGTTTCTCGATACATTTGAACTTTAATCACGACATTTACATTTTCCTAATTTTGAGCAAAAAATCGTCACACATTACATCTAAAATTGTAAAACCTTAAAAATGACTTGTTATATTGGAAAAATCTTTTCCATTAGAATTATAATAGAAAATCTCCCGTTAAAACTTTTCCAACTTTGACATCATACAAGACTCAGAATCTTTTCTTACAGCAAACAGCCTAATGAATATACCTATTCTTTTGTTTCTTTTCAAGTGCGTCATATTACTGATATTGAAGTCCTGAATAAAAAGAATCATGTTTCAGAAAATGTTGAACAAATATATGTATGCTAATGATTTGTATACTTTTGTATTTTGAATGTCTTATGTTTTTCGAGTTGTATACTTTTTTAAAACTAACATATATAATATTTCTTTGTTGTATAAAGATTCGTATTAATTTAACTGATTATAATTGTACTATAATAAATATATTCCTAGTGAAATAAATGCAGCTTTGAACAATTTTCCTAAATTTTTTTTTTGCTTAGTTTTCGGTCTTTTTCTACCATCATCAGAACATAAATATTAAGGCATACTTGATTATCATAACCATAACCTGTACTTGTTAATAACTGCACCACAAGCATTTGTAAAATAAAAATCAAATGATTTCACTATGGTGAAACAGCTGCTAATCTATATATATAAAGGGTGCCACGTAAGTTCTGATCCCCTCATTAAATATTTTTTTCTTACACGTTTCTGCATTCGAAGAGACTGATATTTTCAGTATTTATACTAGATGTCTAGATGTACTCTATACCAGAATTGCACGTTTCTACCTATTTCTATTACAGTGATACAAGCATCACCAAAAACAGTAAGAATTTTTGAATTGTAACTAGAACAATTATGGACAAGAAAACTTACATCCAGTCTATAATGAATCAAGGTCCAGCAGCTTTTCTGTTACTATATAAATCGAATTTCGACTTGTAGATGTCTTTTCGAGTAGAACTATTCATGTTGCATTATAATCAAGAATGAAAAATAATCAGGTATTCCTGATAATATTTTAACTTTTTTTTTCTTATTTTTAGTGATATTTGTATCATTGTAATAAAAATACGTAGAAACGTGAAATTCTGGTATAGAGTACATCTACACATCTAGTATAAATACTGAAAATATCAGTCTTTTCGAATGCAGAAACGTGTAATAAAAAATATTTAATGAGGGGATCAGAACTTACGTGACACTCTTTATGTAGTTTTAATAAAATAAATCAACATGACATTTATTGCCAAGTTATATAAATGACGTAAATGCCATTTACAAATGGTCATGATCTAATGATTAACATCCATAAATCTAAACTATGATAATCAAGTTTATATTAATATTCAGGTTTTGATGATGATCGAGAAAAGCCGAAAACTAAATAAATAAAAAAATTGAAGAAACTCATTCGAAGCTACATTTATTTTCCTTTATTTATTCATATACTGAATGAGATAAACTCTATGAAAAAATCATCGACAGGTGTTAAATGTCTCACACATATCAGATAGTCTCTAAGAAAAAGAAAAATAAAGCAAACTTTCTGCAGAAAGTAACCAAAGATAACATTAATAAAAATTTGATGCTTAAAACAAAAAGATGTGATATTAAATATGGATACTAACAATAATCAAATCAGTTCAATTATCAAAAAAATTGATTTGAAATATTAGGAAGAGAATAAAAGATGATGCTCCTTCAATAATAATGAAATACAAATATCAACTTTAAATATCAATTCATTTAGTTTTATAGATATATATATTTTTGTTTCTAAAATTGATTCTATAGTTTTCACTTACCAGAGGATAGAAAACGTTGCACTTTACCAGGTAATTTATTTATTAAATTTCCTAGAACAGGTAAATCTTCGACAGAACAAAAATCAAGATTATCATATATTTTTTCTAAATTGTCTATATCATTTTTTGTTTTACTTATTAAATTATAATAATAAACACGTACAATCCATGATGGATAAAATTTTTTAGCTTCATTAACAAATATTTGAATATAAGACCATGTCAGATTAGTTTTTAATTCAATACGATCATTTGATTCGTAAGCAGATACGCTTAATACATGTTGATTAAATCCTCGTCGAGCTGATCTTTCTGAACAAAATGATTTATTTTCAGCTAGTCTTAATAAATTTCGGATGCGTTCATTATTTATTTCATATTTAGGTTCCAGTGAATTAATAAAAATAAATATAAGAAAAATTAAGAAAATAATACCAATAATAATAGGATATCGTCGACGAAAAATTGATTGAATAGACATTAAATTCATCTAGTAAATAAAGTTCGGTCAATTAATTATATAAAAAATGAAAAATGTTCTCTTAATTATCTAATACGATTACTGTAATGAAGCATACCTAAATAAAACGGAAATGAAACAAAACATATTGATTCACACTAAGTATTTCTTTTCTCCGCTCGATACCATAATTACATATGGCATCGTAACAACGGCTTGAATGAACAATGAGTACTGTGCAACAACAACTTCGGTTTCTTCGCGTACGATGGCAGATGCATTTTACACAGGCGTGTAGACGGCTTTCATACCACGTACAAAAGAGAAGCGAAAAAAAAAGAATTTTTAATAATCAACCGTACTGCGTCAAAACTATTCGACAAGAGAAGATAAATACAAGAAAAAAGAGAACGCTTACAGAAAGTAAAAACGGAACAAGGTGATGATGATGATCTAGTGTTGAATTGATATATAACGACCTCTAGTCAAATAAAATTATATTGGCTTAAAATATCTAATCAATCGAATTTTATCTTGAGCAAAAGCATCAAAAGAAATTAATTCGTTTTTCCTAAATTTTCTTTGATTAGTTATCATCATGTCTTCATGGAAGAAATCAAGCAAAGTTGGACAAGTTCAACATCGAGAACGATCTCAAGTAAATTTCTTTTCGTATAGTTAAATAATAGCAACATATATACAACTTAAAATTTTATTTTAGCCTTCAACACGTCAACATTTAGGTTTACTTGAAAAGAAAAAAGATTATAAAGAAAGAGCTATGTAATTAACAAAAGATATTATTCTTCCTAAAATTTCAAGTTGTTGTTTATTTTTTAGTGATTATCAAACAAAAGGAAATGTAATACGTGAACTTAAGAAAAAAGCTTTGGATAAAAATCCTGAAGAACATTATTTCAATATGATCAATACTAAACTAAAAGTATATATAATTCTTTTTTTGTTTTCTTAATATTGATTAATTAGTTAATTTATTTTCCGTTGAAAATTTCTATTGTTTCAAATATTTATCATAGAGCTCGTTGAGTAGAATATTTCATCTGAGAAAAGTTTATATTTTGTAAAAGGATTGATTAATTCATCAAAATTTGAAGTCATTTGAATAAATTATTGAAGGTTTTGAATCAAAAAAATTGTTCGATAGGTTGTATGTTATATTATATGCTTTGACCATATGTTGTTCTCATACTATCAAAATTCTTTTTTGCAATTACTCAACTTGTAAAATTGTCCTCTAGGATCTTTTCGGACGAATGTCGATGTTCTCATTTTAGAGACCTTTAATCATGAAAAGAAAATATTAAACTTGATCGTGATGTCGAAACTTTTTTGTATCCAAAAACTTCATTACTAGAAAGTAAATGGCTAACTTTGAAGCAAGTCTGTTAGAATAACATCATAACATATTCTTCTGTTTATAAGTGACGACATTATTTGAATTAAAACAAAAGTTACAAATAAATTTCTGTAAACATATGTTTTTCTACGTTTAACTTTTCAAAGAAATTTCAGAAGTTCATACTGATCTTTTCTTTTTTTGATGAAATATTTACTTATTACATTGTTTGATATAATATTTTCTATGATATAGAATGGTGTTCATAGTTTAAAGAAAAAATATAAAGACTATAGTGAAGATCAATTAAAATTAATGCAAACACAAGATTTAAAATATATAAAATATAAACATCAAATGGAAAGAAAAAAGATTGATAAATTACAAACATCATCACATTTAATCGATTCTGAATATCGTCCATCTCATTCACATATATTTTTTGTTGATTCACAAAAACAAGGTTTGTTTGTTTATTCTAATTAAACAAAACCAATAATTTTCTTGTCTTTGTATTTAATTTAAATTAATTTAGTCGAAAAATTTGATCCAGTTAAACAAATGCGAACACATCCATCATTAATTAATCGTCGATCAAATCGATTGACAATTGAACAATTAAAATCAACAAAATTTAATATTGATGAAGAACAAATTAATGTATTTTCAAATGATGAAACTTTTTTTTTTCTTTTATTAAAAACTAAATTTATAATTTAGAAATTTCAAAAAATGCGAAAGAAAAAATATTTAGAATTACAAAAACGAATTGAACGTGAAAAGAAATTACAACAAGTTGAATCAGCTATGGAAGATAAACTTTTACTTAAAGTAAAAAAAAAAAATTCTTTTACTTTTTTCAAATTACATAAGAAATTTTTATTTTAGAATCCGAAACCAGATATCGATGAATTTTGGTCGGACGATGAAAATGAAAAAATAAATGAAAAGAAAAAATCAAAAATTATACCGCGAAAGAAATAAAAAAAATCTTTTTTTGTTTTGTTTTTCATTAATATACAAATAGAAAAACATGTCATTATTTCGTTTTTTTTTTTGTTTCAGATGAGTTTAAGTTCATTTAATAATAAGGTATGGGAAGATATATTCGAAAACATCAAAGTAAACTTGTTTGTTTTTATATGAAAGGTTATTGAATTAGGAAAATCGGTCAAACGAAGTAAAGTTCGCTCAATTAGAAAATTAACTCGACAAATTGAACACGAACGAAAAAAGTAAATAATTTTAATTAGAACAGAATATACATTTTAGTATTGTTTGTAATTAGAAATCCAAATGATGAACGTACAACTCGTAAGGTTAAAAGAATGATTGAAGAAATTCATCAAATTCGAGTATTAGATTTTAATTTAATTTAATTTAGAATTATTTTTTTTTTTATTGTTTAGAAATTACCTATTAAAGATGTAGTCTTATTCGCCATGGAAAATGAAGGAACCATTGCTGAAATGCTACAAAAATATAAAGTAAAAATAAACATTGTTTAATACAGTGTTTGTAAATATTTTTTTTAAATACAATTTTGAAAATTTGAGAAATGAAAAATTTCGTTATTTTAAACCGGAGATTTTCACAGTGCAATATTTTCATACGTTGTTTTGCTTCATTGGATCGGACAGAAGAGAAATATTCAAGGGCTACTTCTTGTGGATTTTTAAGAATACTGCCCATCGGTATCGCTGCATTTATGCATTCAAATAAATCAATAATCGAAGTAGTTTGAAATTGTCTTTGGGGAGACTGCGAATGGTTTGTTCTAATGCATTCATCATTGTGTTGTTGTCATTGAGTTGAATTTCATGTAGTTAGCTTTTTAGTTTTGAGTGCAACAAGAAGTCGTATGAACTGAGGTCTGCAAAATAAGGTAGATTTGAGTATGATTTCGCATAATTTTCAGCGAAGCATTCGTTAGTAATCCAAATTCTATGAGGTCTTACATTATCATCATAGAAGACGAGATCTGGAAAATCGATTTCGTCTCCATTATGATAGAGTTTTGAAGACTTACGGTAGACATCTGTTGACATACCAACTTTTCTTTATTGTCTCATTAGATTCTAATGGTATAGACTTAATTAAACCAGATTTCATAAAAAAAAGCTTTCATTCGTCTGTCTCTACTTTTGTTTCAATGAACTTCGGTTGCGCCTAAATTGCATTCTGCCATCCAAATTTTTTACTCCTCTTTTATTTCTGGATCATAATGATAGAATCATGGTTTATCACCAGTAATAATGTCGAATAGACGGTTGGTTTTGATCATCGGACAGTTGATGAAATATTCATTGAGCACAAACTTTGCGCAACTTCAAATGAGCATGAATTATTAAGTTGATCAATAATAAATTAAGATTCAGAATGGCTTCCATCTACTCCTACATTGAATGACGATCATTTTCAATAATTTTTCGGGCAGCATCAATCGTTTCTTTATAGAAAGCAGTTGAATGACGTTTTCGTATAATCATGAATATGTCTGAGCATTATAGTAGAAGAATTACGCTCAAGTCATTACTTTTAAATAAACTGGTCGAAAAACTGTTTCTAGTTCTTTATGTATTTGTCCACCGAGTGCAAAAGCAATAATGTTTGCATATTTCAAAAGTATGTCATCCATGGGCCTATGTGTTTGTTGAGTCACGGTTTTCAAGATAAAATATTTAGTCTTTTTCCTATGAGAAACGTTTTAATGATTCAGAAGTATAAGATTTTGAGAAAGATGAAGTCGAGTCATCGACAAAATGAAGTGAAGACAAAGTTGATGCGTCATTAAGTTCCTCAGCAGATAGTAAGTAAGTGCCATTAACCGAATCAAATGATATGAAATTCATAAGTTAGTATTTTGTATTAATATGATGGTTATTTGTTTGCTATTATTTTCCTTTCGAATTTATATCTATAGATGAAAATTCTGAATATGAGTTAGTTCGATCCTCTTTTTGTTCAATGATGACATGAGTCTTGATCCTTTTGTTTGTTAATTTATTCATAAATAAATATAAATAAATATTCTATTTTATAGCCAAATAGTGATGATATAAAACAACATGCATTAATACGTTTAGCAACAGAAAAATCTCTTCAATCAGATATAATATCTTTAAAAACCAATGATAATTATGCAAAATCATGGCAACAATTACTTATTATGTATCGTTCACGATATGAAAAACGTTTAGTATGGAAAGAAAAATCAGAAGATTTTAAAAAAATTGAGCAAGCTCTTGTTGATCAACAAAAAGAATTACAAGAAATTGAACAAAGTTTACCTGAGTCATTAAAAGTTAAAAAGAAAAAAGAGAAAACAAAGTCTCCTATAAAACGTTCAAAACAAGCTGTTGTTTGTGTACTTGATCTTGAAAATAAAATTGCTGAACCATTTGGAAATCATACAATTGATGAAGATGATGACGATAATGAAAAGGAAGAAAAATTAATGGAAAAAACAGAGGAAATAGAAATCGAACCAAAACCAATTTCATCATCATCAACAACAACAACAACAATTAATGATCCATTTTTTTTAAATAGTCAACATCAAATAACATATCAAAAAAGAACAAGTCGAAATAAAAATGAAACCGATCTTGATGATAAAACATTCATTGAACATTCTTATTTTGTTAATGCACTTTCATCATCATCTAATCGACGTGATGGTCGTGGAGATCTTGCAAGAAAAAAATGGGCACATTTATCGCTACCAAATCGACCACGTACATCAAATAAACCATCATCGTCAAATGAAAAATCCAATGGTATCTTATTATTTAATTTTAAAAAATTTATAAATTTGTATTTTTCTTTTTAAATAGATTTAACAAATAATCATAAATCAAAAGTGCAAGATTCGAATAGTACTTCACTTCATCCATCATGGGAAGCAAGTCGACAAGCTAAATCACAATATTGCATTCATAAATCGCAAGCAAAAAAGATCGTTTTTAATAATAGTGACGATGAAAACTCTTAAAAACAAAAGTTTTTTTTTTTGTTAAATGTCATTGTTTTGAATTAGTAAAATTGATTGTTAAAATCACATTTACTTTTTTTTTTCTACAGTATATCATCAATACTAAATCAATATGTTAGAACTAACAGTTCATTAACTGAAAACTTTTTTCTGTTAACTTAATAGTGTATTAGAATGAGATAAAACATGACATATACAGTTTCATTTATCTTTATAATTCTATGAGACAGCATCACAAGATAAATAATAGGCTTATTCATTATCTGCATACAGTTATAAAAAACTATCATGTTAACCTTGTCAATTGCATATAAAAACAACTGCATAAACAGACTATTACTGAATGTTCAAGATACAAATGTCTATCATATGTTATGTTCGTATAACATGAAGAAGGTTAAAGCAATCATATAATTATGTGTAATGCTTTGTTTCTTGTTATGTCAAATTTTGTTAGTGAAAAATGTACTTCTTGTATCAATGAATAATATCTGCGTTGCAATAAGGATCAACAATTTGCTTTTTGTTGTTTATTATTTAATCATCGTGCTAGACATATCATTGCCAAATATAGTTACTGTCCTTCATGCATTAATAAGACAGTAAATTAAGCAACGATATAGACAATGTCAAGAAAAATAATCTTACCATTACGAACTACAATTCAAAACTATAACGAATAAATCCATTAAAATTAAAGGACATTGTTATTATTCGTTTGCAATAAATGTTTTTTTTCATATAGTACTGATACGTTCTAGGTCAATGACAATTGAAAAATATGCATAATCAAATGACTCTCAATAATCGTTATCATCATTTTCGGCATCAGCAGTGCATATACTTTGTCTCTTTTCTTTTTCTTCTTATATCAATAGAATATGTCCATCTGTGACCATCTATCACCGTTAACAATACCATGCTCCTCCTTCTTTACAAAAAAAAATCACATATTCCTTTTTCTTCATCATCAATTGGGTGTTAAAATTTGTGCGTCAGTTGTTGCCATCAGCTAGCAAATGAAAAAAAAATGAGTTTTTTTTTCTTTTGATTCTTTTTTTTTTTCTTTATAGTCCAAATGATATATAAATACAATGATGTTCACTCTTTTTTTTTAGTTATTTTATTTAGTTTGTTCATCAAACCGTCTCTACGTTTTGATTGTTGCTCAGAGAGTCTGTATTATAATTTTGACTCTTTGACAATGGTCAAAATCTTAAACGGTTTATACATGTCGATATATATATGTATACATATAATTTAGTTATATTAAAAAAAAACCTAAGAAATGATCAATAGAATTCTATTTTATCATTAAAATGAAATCTAATTAAGTGTAACAAAATCAATTCAATGCATTTGAAAACGAAGTCTAAACAGCGCCGTTCGATTCATAAATGGTATGAAGGTTTTCAACTAACAATCAGTAGACATATTCATACATTGGGTAATTTTATTTACAATCAAGAACATCATGAAATATTTGGACGTGATGGAAAACGATGGAGTATGATAAAAAAAAATTTCATATTTTATTTTGTCATAATTTCTATCTTAGGCAAATTAGCTGCTTTCTATTTTTGTTTCTATGTTGTCCTTGGTGGTTTTTTTTGTTTGTATTTATCTATATTTATGTCACTTCTACCATTAAATCAACCAAGATATATAGGCAAGGATAGTCGATTAACGTCTCGTAATAATCCACTTTCACCAGGTGGTTTAGTACTTAAGAAAACAAAATGATTTGTAATATAATTCTTCGTTTATTCAGGACTAAGTTTTCGACCACAAGCTAGTATTAAGCTAAATGATATACAGACATTAATAAGTTTATCATCTAACGATGAACAAAATCAAAAAGAATCGATTCATGATAATACTCAGATTTATATTAAGAATCTTGATGAATATTTAAAAGTTTGTACGTAATAAATGGTTTCAAAAAAAAAACCATACAATTAAAATTTGTTGCTTATGAAGATTCTATTCGTCTTAGATAACAATACACGAAGCTCTAAGAATTTCACTATTCATGATGTAGGTGATTGTAATTCAATTAAACATTATGGTTATAGAAATGGTAAACCATGTATATTAATAAAAATAAACAAAGTTTGTTTGTTTGTTGTTGTTTTTCTTTCGTTATAAACGATTTTAGATTTCTTAGCTTATCGGTTTTATACCAGAGATAGATAGAACTGATACTAATAATAAACATGAATCAGAGTGTATTGGTATCTCTAATGTTCCAGTTCGATGTATGGGCGAGGTTTGTTTGAAATTTTTTTACAATCATATTCAACAATCTATATATTGAAAATAGTATCTCTTTGATCAAGAAATGCTTGGCGATATTGTATATTATAGTGAATCAGGTTCGAGTAATGTATGTGGTTCAATTGATATCAAACATTTTCCTTATAAGTATTTAATAATTTGTTTTGTTTTTTCTTTATTTTAACTTTTTTAATATAATTTGTCTAGTGGTAAAGAAGATCGAAATGATGCTTATCAAACTCCATATGTATGGGTACAATTTAAAAATATAACACCATATGTATTGATATCTGTTGAATGTCGAATATTTGCTGCTAATATATTTTATGATAAAGTTGCACAAAGAGGCAGTGTACGTTTTCAATTGTATCTTAATAAAAAAATATAAAATTTAATATCTTCACATATATATATACATATATATATATATTTGCACATGATAATCAGATGTGTTACTGCAAGTACAGATGTTTATTATGTACAAATGTTCATGTCAGTTAGAAACGTGACCTCAGATGCAAGGCTAGAGTATATATCGTTTCGTAGATCGCCTATCCATCATATGTTGCTAAGACTCATAAGTTCTCATTATTAAGGAAGCTGGTTGTTATATATTTGCTTTCATTCTTATTCAATATGCAATAGGTTATAACAGATGAACAGCAGTTTTGTATATACATTATTGGACTAGTTTATCTGTTTGTCCGCTTTAATTCTATATTAACTTCCTACACACATATGTACGGATAGTTTACGAGTAAATACCGTACGCGTAATTGTAGAGAGAGAGAGAGAGATTGTTGATAGGAGAGTACCAATCAACCTCAGCTATCCTTTTTCTTTACACTATACTTCTTTTCTTATTGATGATGAGAAAAAAAGAGAAGAAAGAAAGAATTCTTTGGGAAACATTTCCTTCTATTCTTAATCATTCTTACATCTCGAACAATAATATATATATACATAAGCACAGTACAAGTCTTGCGTATTATCATTTATTAAGTCATCAACACATATCTAGATGGCAGCAAAATTGAATGTTTTACTTTTAATTGCTATTTTTTCATGTTATCAATTATTCTTTATTAAAGTGAGTAAATTGTAAAAACAACTAATATTCGCTTAGTTATAGAAAAAGAAAACAAAATCTTTCATGTTTCTTGTCTTTTTTAATTACAATTCTAAAAATATCCATCAAAGTCCAATAGATACTTCAAGTTCTATAGGAAATTCGTATTGACATACTTTTTCAGTCCAGACATTTCGATTATCTCGGTCTGTTTATATATAGTCATGAAATCAATTAAAACAGACACATATGTTATTTCAAGATATCTATTTTTACCATATATAATGACTGTACGATAAATATCTCTGTCCTCCACAGAAAACAACAATTAATCAAACGTCCAACGTATTTCTACCTACTAGGCAACATCACTGGGATACAAAATGCTTGATCATTATGCCTATACTAGAAAACCTCGGTATGCTAGTTATTTTTCCTGGCTGAAATGTTAACTAAATATATTAGTTGAAGAAAATGTCTGAGTTGTCTAAACATCTGTTGGTAGTTGTAAGACCAGACAAATAACAGCCTCATATTTACATGTATTGCAAACAGATTCAAAATGAAATTCTCTTGAGACTACTGTTGTTTATACAATAAGTTCCAAGGAGATTTCAAACAAATTATTTTCTCAATGCTCTTTAATTACATCTATTACATAATTTCAAATAACAAAAAAAAAAAGAATGAGGACCTACAATTAGGTCAGCCAATATTTTTAGTAGGACATGTAAATATATGTTCTGTTCAATGTAAGAACATGACACTGTTTGGTAGTGGGCTGTATATTTATCTGATCGCATGTTAAGTGTTGATAGTAATGTAGGTGTTGTGAGATATCTTGTCACTGAAATAATGCTAGAGTTGACACGTCAAGGTAGTACGATAACTAAAGAATGTTGCCTTGACTTAATCAATGTCATTTGTTTATTTGATTTAGGCACAATCTGAAACAAAAGATGTACCAAATGAAGCAGTAAAAGTCACTGATGAACAACTTATAAATGATTTTGAAGGTCTATATTCCTTGTCTTTGTTTTCTTACTATAAGATGAATCATATTTTATTTTTGTGTTTGTTTTCAAAAATAGATCGATGTGCAAGTACAAAGTGTCGTGATGGTGAAACATGCATATTAAATAAGGATGGTGATGCTGAATGTGCTTGTCTTACACAATGTGAAGATCCAAAAGATGAACGTTTAATGGTAAAATAAAACAGTCTGTTTATTTTCCTATATTTATCAATAATATTATCTTAGGTATGCACAAAAGCTAATCATACATATACAACGGATTGTGAATTCTATCAAATGCAATGTTGGTGTCGTCGAAATGATGAACGATGTACACGTCGAGAAGCTCTTACAGATTCAATTGATTATTTTGGACGATGTCAACGTAAAAATAAAAAAGACTGCGAAAAATTTGAATTTTTTTTTTTCGAATGTTTGAATTTAGACCTTGGCATTTGTACGGAATTCGAATTAGAAGTCTTTCCAAAACGCATGACAACATGGCTTGGAGAAATTCTTGATGCATTGGTTTGTTCAAAACAAAAAAAAAAAAACAAATATATAGAATATTTTATTGAAATTCTTTCTATTGTTTTAGTTTGTTCGTAAAGATCTTGATGCTAAATATGAAGTATTAGTTAGTGAAGCACGTAAAATGAAATTATCAAACACAGAAAAATGGTGGCGTAACGCTGTACTTTGGGAATTTTGCGAACTTGATCGTACACATGATAAGTAAATTGAAATTTCTCTAATTGAAATCATTTATATGATTTTGTATACTTATGTTTAAAGTTCAGTGAATAATGAAGAATTAGCTCGTTTTGTTCGCTCACTTAAAGTACTTGAACATTGTATTCAACCATTTTTGAATCATTGCGATATGGACAATGATAATAAAATTTCATCGGATGAATGGGGTACATGTTTAGGTTTAGATAAAGGTAACAATTGAAAGATTTATTATTATTTTTTTCTTTAATAATTATTTATTTAGATGATATGGTTTTCTTGAAGACATTCTGTTCACATTAAATCAATAAGACTATTTCGGTTAATATTTTATGAACACTATACCGATTGAAAAGCATGTGTGTGCGTGTGTGATTTTTAGTTTAGAATGTTTTTCTTACGTATCATTTTATTAATAAATAAAAATCATATATATTTCGCGATATTAAAAAAAAAAACTTGTTATTTTTTTAGAAGTATTTTAGGTATGAAATAATATGTTTTGTTGTTTTTAAAAGTTCAAGGTGATGTACGGCTTTTACATTCAGCTATTTGATGCTATTTTTTTAAATAATTGCTTGTTATTTCTTGAATATGATGGTTTATATCTAGTTTTAATTGTCATCAGTTTGCAATTAGTATAACGAACCTCTAATTATTTTTTGAAATAGATATCATATCAAATACACTATTATTATTGTTAACTTGAACAATATTATTTAGTAATCTTATTCAATCATCTTATATTCGATTAATCTATTCTTTTTTAGGATTAAAATCTTAAATCATCTAATAAATATCATAATTTGAATATATCAGATGTCATTCAGTAGTGATAGAAAGCAATTAATGTTTTTATTTGACTATTTGATTCATCTGAGATTTGACGCAGAAAAACATGATATTTATGGTGATCTAATGTGCAATAAAATCTTTACCATGAGTGTTTAAAAACAAATATCTTTTGCTAATTAGCATCTTCTTTTTCTTGATTATTGTTTTTTTTTTATAGTTGTGGTTTATTCTGTGGTAATAGATATTATTTTTTTATCTCGGTTGACTGCGTTTTGATCTTTTGATCGATTCTAATGTGTTAGTGATTGTTACATGACATCGTATATATATGTCCTAGTCAGATTTTGTTTGGTACTTATTTCATAAATCGTAGTAAAGTGACACACATACATACATAAGCTATCTACGTTATTGATCAAGAATATTTTATTCAATACAAAATCAAAACGTCATTGTAATGGCTTCTAATTTGTTGAACAATAATCCTGCTGTTCAATATCTTTTACAACAAGCTGATGAATTAACGAATTCAACATTTAGATCGTCTGCGACGGTTGTAGATACGAGTGATGAACAATATTTGACATCAAATGCATTGAATATCAATAATCTTAATATCAATGATTTGTCAAACTTGAATGAATTAAAAATTGAAGAAATTGATCAAGCAACAATGAATCAAATTTCTCAATCATTATCATCAGCAAATGCTCATCAACAACATCAATTAGTTGATCAAATTGGTGCAATCAACGTTTTAGTTGATGGATCAACCGGAACAGTAGCACCCATATCGAATTATTATGGAGAAATTTTTCGGGATCCTAATCCACCTCAAATTATACGACGACCACCAGCACACGGTCCAGTGACATATCGTCAAAATGTTGTAGTACGCTTTCTTCAACCACCACCAGCACCAGCCCCAGGAGTAAGTTTTATTTAAAAAAGAAACTAATCGATAATTTTCTTGTTTTATTATTCTTTTTTCTAATTTTATAGCCACTAATTATCAAAGAAGTTCGTCCACCACAAGTATGAAAACATTATGATTTTAAAATTTTCTCTATATAATTTTATTTTAAATTAGCCACCAGCTCCACCACCACTTGTCGTTCGACAACGTGCACCTCCACTTCCAATACCTCCTCCACTTATTCTTCGAGAACGACCACCACGAAGACCTCCTCTAATTCCTTCACAAACACTCATAAAAAAATTACCTCCAATACCTGTTCCACCTCGATCGGTTATTATTGAACGTTTTCCAGCATTGCCTCCACGACCTCGTGATGTTGCTATCGAACGTTGGTTACCTTATTCGAAAGAACCTCAACGACGTAAAATCATAACATATCGAGCTGCACCACCTCGTCCTTATCCTCCACCACGCAATATAATCATTGTTTATGATCAAGCACAAGCAAATGTTGTGCGTTCAATACAAAAACTCGGCGTTCAACCACAAAATCCTGAAGAATATAAACTGCGATACGGAAATACATTATTAGATCCATCAACATTAGTAGCACAAGCACAACATATTGGAATTGTTGAAGATCTTGTATGTAGTCATAATTCAAGTCATTTTCCATACTTACGATTCTTGTTTCATTTTTTATAGAGTCCACCTTTAATTGGTTACAATCCACAATATCTAAATAATACTTCGGAGTACTTTTGGAACAATGCCGAAACTATATTGAAACCTCACTATGAATATCAAACAATTGCATGGGAAAATCAAGCAGCAAATAACAACAATGAACAAGTTCAAGTTTTTTGGACTGATCGTAATATAATAAAATTCATTATTTCTTGTTTTAAATGTCATCTTTTTTTTCTATGATTTTAGCTTACGAGCATGTTTCTGTGACTCTTAAACGTCTTGGAATTCAAGTGGATTAAATGATTTTGAAATCTTTAGTTTTTCCATTGACACTCAGAAGAAAAAAAATATGTAGATGCATTTTCTCTCTATATCACATATTTCGAAGTTTACTTTCATATAACCAATGTATCTCATATAGATTTACTTTTTTTTTCATTTATTTTCTTTTATTTCAATTATTTTGAAGGTGATGGTATTAGTTGAAAAACAAATATATATATAATAAAAATAATTATCATACTATTAGAATAAATAAACAAAAACCACAGAATTATTTTATATTTGTATTTGTATGTCTCATAGTGGGAAAAGAAGATTCTTGATAACAGAATAATATTATATTTGTTTTCTTAAGGTCCATTCCTCTATCAAACACTTATTTGTACTACAGAACAACTGTTCTGACTGAAAATTTCAGGAAACCTGTATCTGGATCTTAACAATTCATGATAAGAATATATACAAATGATCAATGTTGATAATGAATAGTTAATTTTTATATATAACTGTCGGTAAAAATACAAATTTTATCAGCAAAAGAAATAAGTTTGATTTATATGAAGATCAATTTAATACAAGAAAAAAAAATCATACAATAAGTAAGAAGAAATTAAAAATTCAATTATTGTACTAGCAATGCAAGTATCGCTTTTGTTACTCGTACCAATAGCTATAGCAACAACATGTTTGCGTATATAATTGTTAAAAGATTGCATAATTGCATTGAGTTTTCTCAATCTGAGTCATTCTCCATTCCCGCACACCACATGTCATATGACATTTTGCATAGATTAAAAGCTAGCGCTGTCTTATTTTTATATGTATTTTTGAAGAATCATTGGAAATACAGATTGTATCTTTTGTTGATTTAACCTATTGATACAATAAAATTGGATATGTAAGAAATACTTTTGCGTCAATTGAAGAAGAATCTTATTTAATTATCCAATTAATGACAATATTTGAAGCTATTGTCAAAAATCTTGATAGAGCATGACGTTCTCTTAACGTTCGATTACCTTTGTTTGTTTTATTGGTTGCCTCTCCGGCGTTAACGCGTGAAAACACTTATCAAGCGAGTGCGACTTGCCTGTATGAGTACGCGAATTACTCATACGAGTTTTTATCTATAGACTCATTCATAGGTAATGATGCGAGTACTCAAGGTAGTACTCATGTTCGTTCTTTTACAGAATATTTAATCAAACATTTATTTACTTGTGTAAACAAAAAAAGATTGAAATTATGTAATTAAGTAATATGGCATAATATAACACACAATAGAAAGAAGCTCGTATAAGAACTTACTGTCGGATTTAATATTTATCTGACTGTAAAACTCTTGCAAATCTAATGATGGGAATCTTGTAAAGTGTTATACGCAGAGGCAGCGCGAAGAGGTCAGAACAGAGAGGAGGGGAGGGGAATATCCAAAAGTCGGAGAAACTAATCTAAAATTTTTCTCAAAATTTATAAAATTTGTCCGATTATATTTTTCCAAAATCGGAGATAACTGTTTAATAATCTCTCTAAATTAAGAGAAAATCTGAGCCAGAATTCTCAAAGCACGGGGTACCCTCTCCGCTCGCGTCGCCCCTGGTTATACGATCGTATAATATAAGAATTTTAGATCTTATTTAAACAATTAATTTAGATAACAATAATTTTGTGCATTTCAATTAATATTTAAGCGCTACTTTTTAAGCATTGAAAATATGATGCCCACAGCATGAATTTCAAGTAAGGTATTTTATTTCCTTTTTTTAAACGTGGTTCGGTAGAGCTTAATCTGCTGATCAAGAAAACTAAGAAGACTTCGTTTTTCAGTGTCTGCGAAACTTTCTATTCTGTTTTTTTATTGAATTTCTGAGACTTAGTTTTTCAAATTCAGCGTCCAAAATGATGAACAAAAACGTGATCAAATCGAATCTGATTCAAAAATTCAGTCGATGTGACGATCCAAATTGATTTTATTCACATGCTTGTAGGTAGTTTTTCGTAAACCTATCTAGGTTTTTTTTGGTTCCAGTAACGAAGCCAAACTAAAATTTAGCTCGTTTTTCTTCATTTTCTACATAAAAGCGAAGATTTCATGCAATAAAATTATGATCTTTGCAATCAGTGTGAAAAATTGCATCGACTGATATGTGTTTCCAAACTTTTTTTTACCTTTCATTTTTGAGTAAAACTTGGAAAACAATTGAAGTCTGCGCAAACAATAAAAGTACATATCAATGGAAGCAATTTTTCATGCTAATTCCGAATATCATAATTTTATTTGCATGAAATTTCTGTTTTGATGAAGAGAATAGAGAAAACAGGTTTTATTCTAGAGATTTTACCCAGAATTCAGAAAAAATAATTTTTCTAGAGAACGAAAAGAATAAAAAAAAGCGATGCATACTTTCATGACCGATGGTATGATGCATTACATGAGATAAAGTATTTGACCTCAACACTAGCATAAAAAAAAATAGATAAGTTTACGAAAAACGATCTACAGACATGCGAACGAAATCAATTTAGTTCGTCACATCATCTGAGTTTTTGAATAAGATTCGATTTAATCACATTTTTGTTCATAGTTTTAGACGCTGACTTTGAAAAACTAAGTCTCAGAAATTCAATAAAAAAAAGAATAGAAAGTTTCGCATACGCTGAAAAGCGATATCTTCTTAGTTTTCTTGACCAGCAGATCAAGCTCTACCGAACCATGTATAAAAAAGGAAACAAAATATCTTACTTGAATTTCACGTTGCAGGTACCTTAAATAAAGCGAATGTTTTCAATTTCGATTATCTTCCGCTCACTACTCAACTTTCTAACGAATAAAAATTGCTTCTTTATACCGCAAGATTCAAAATTTAGTGCTTCTTTTCATGATATATTAATTAAAGTTTTATGATGTAAAATGATAGAGATATGAAAGTCACAAGACGCAACTATGTAAAGTACGCTTGATTTAAGGACGTCGAATCTATGCATATCTTACTTTGATGATCTGCCATCAACTAGTACATTTCAACTCGGGTGATTTCAAGAATTCACTTTTTTTGTATTTCAGATAAATTCCATATTTTACAGTTTCGTAATCTATTGGGAAACTCTTTCGATCGAAGCAAAAGGCGACTTTCATAGAGAGGAACTATTAATCAATTCTGAAATAGCAATTTTTGTCGAAAGGAAACAAGAGATTGCTTTTTCTATCTGATGCATTCGTTGTATATTCGACTTTAACTGGAATAACTTTTAATAATGTTCAATTCAGATCCCGATTAACATCATTAAACAAATATCTACTCATATTGGCAAAAGATACATTGAGGTATGTGAGGATGAAAAACTTGCATGTAACATGTGAACCTTCATTATTTATCATTGGTTGTATTCTTTGTTTCCTTGACAAGTATTAAAAAATGTCCATATAGCTTTGTAAATGGATAATCTTGATTAACTATAAATTATGAATACGAAGGTAGCTGTTGTAACACAGCTAGTTATTCTTAAATGAATAGCTATTCATGACAGATTTGTCCCATGTGTCTCTGATTTGAAAAATGTTATGAATCTTCAATGACTAAGTTGGAAATTTATTGTTCTGTATGGCAGTGTATGTGACACACTTTCATATTTCTTTTGTAGCCTAATACGATAATAAGAGCTGCATAGCCTATGAAAAATTATTGATTATCAATATTGTAATCATACGGTTCGATTCTTTCGGTGAAAATAACGGTGAAGCACGTGAATGTCTCGAATATTCTGAATATATAAGACCAATCACGTGCCCTTTCAATAATGTTTACTGACCATACCAATGCATATTACAAGACGATATCGGTACTTCATCAAAGTCAGTCTCAAATGATTGGATGCTTTCTAATAATGTTTAAGACCAATTCGGTAGAAATATTAGCGAATCAGTTCTAGACTTTCATTTGATAATGTAGCAGGTTCAAGAATAAATCGGGCGCTGTCAATTGAACAATTCGTTGTAACATCTCATACCCATGTAAAAAAATAGACGATTAATCAGATTAAAACCGATTAAAACTCGATTATAATCAAAAACAATGCAAAAAATCTAATTTTCATCGATTATGCTTTTAATTTTCAATCATAATCGATTAAAACTTTATGAAAAAAATTATTTATGATCGATGAAAATCTAAGAAAATTCATTAAAGATTTTATCATTTACTCTGAAGAAAAATCGATTAAAATCGATATTTCTTACCGAACGCTTAATCGATTATAATCGAAAATAATAGGCATAATCGATGAAACTTCGGTTTGTTGGATTATTTTTCATTATAGTCGATTTTTAATCATGTTTAAATCGATTTTAATTTGATTATTCGTCTAATTTTTTTACATAGGATGGAACATGAAGCTTTTTTCTTTAAAATATAATTTGACAGATTTTTAATAGATAGCTTACGTGAATCATCAGCGTCAATACGTAAAGAATTGTTTGAAGAAGTCGACTGGTACTCAACAACTAAATGCTAGTACTGATACATCCGAGAGAGAAATATCAGAGCTCAAGTAATTTTACGAGAACTCAAGACTGAAGACGCTGCTTTCCTTGTCGAATATATCTCAATATTCATGCAGTATTAGACAAAACTCTAGTGCGTGGTTGGCATAAGATGCCATAATCTTTTATAAACGTTTCACTTAAACGATAAGGTTATCAATTGTCAAGAAAAGATTTATCAGATGGACTTGATAAATTCTCACCAGTTATCAGATAACTTTCATGGAAGTTAAAGCCGATATTTCAAGCTCCGATATTTCAAGCTCCGATATTATCTCTCAGTTCGAATTGAAATAGAAATCGAGTCTATGCAACATGTGAAAATTTTTTAAAAATGACTGAGTCATAAATAGACTTTTAGAAACAGAGATAAAAGCTGATATTCTTTGTTGTGTATAGTAATAACTCAAGCATCAGAAAAATATGATCTGTTCATCATTCGTCTGAGCAAAACCAGTCCATACAGAAGAACAGAAATAAAAAGCCGACATCAATTTATTGGTAACTACCATTGACATTTACAGGTCGGGTCCATTCACTTCTCTTAGTGTCTTCTTTTAAAGAAAGAAACAAAAATACATTATTTCAGTTAAGTTAACTTAATGCAATTCGAGTTTCATAAATATAACAAAATGTCTTGTATTTAATTGCTTAGTATTTTTACATCCACACTCTTTATCTATTACTTAATGCTGCCCTACAAAATGACCATTACTAACAGATTTACCATGGTTGATTAACTGTATTTGCACCTGTTTTCAGATCACTCAAATTAGACGATAAGGTGATGAGTGAACTTCAGTAAAAATGTTATGTTTCTTGAACCCCAATACCTATCAAAGTCAGATTTGTGAAAATCAATAGAATATGCTCCAGCTTATCTATTCATGGGACAAGAACCAAAGAACTATTGAAGTGCCATAATCTTGTAGTTGAATCTTTCAAATATTTAGAAACGTATCATCATCAAAGTATTACAGGCTCTTGGTTTTTTTATAGATTTGTGTACTCTCATTGTATTTCTAAATGTACAATAGGCGGCATTTATTTATTTATTTATTTATTTATTTATTTAATTTTAAATAAAGCATATCACAGGACTAAAAATATCAGGCGCAAAAGTGGACCACTTATTATGCGACACCCATGATTCAAATAAAAAGGGATTATAAGCAAAAACTAGACGATGAATGTAACAGGAAAGAAATATTAGTCCGGTTTTCTTAATTTAAATGTGAATATAAAACATTCTTATTGATTGGCTTTTAAATCGATTTCACTGATAATTGCTATTCCGCCATTAGTTCCATATGATTTATTATAATCAGTAACACATAATGTTCCAGTGGATAAAAATGTCATCGAATGTGGCTCTCGAATAGAATTAAAGGTATATTGTTCAATTATTGAATCCTTATCAATTGAAACTAAACAATGATTAACTTTATCAGGTATTATACATTTTCTTGTACTATCAACATAAATTGAATATGACTTTAATGTTGGAGATATATTCCAAATCACATCTGATGTATTTCTACTAATATCCAATTTTTCAATTTGGAATTTATCATTGCAACATGTTAATACAAATGATGTATTATCAGGCAAAAAATACGCTGCATAAGGATAGACTTTGTTGTAAGGTTGTGATTGTGATTGACATAAAGCTTGCTGATTTTTATTATTAAACGACCAATCACCAATGTAAGTTAGATCTTTATCGAAGTAAACAATACGTTCACCAGCTGGATCACATGCTAAATAGAATTTTTTTTTATCAAAATAATGCAATCAATCTTATGTTACTGATTAAAGTCGAGAAGTATCAATTATATTAATGAAATTATCATAAAGTTTTGATACTAGCTAGTAGTTTTATTTCTTCATGTTTGTTTTGACTGAAACTTTCAAACTCACACAGGATGTTTCTAACGAGGGAAGCACTCCTACTGAATCATCAATATCCAGTCAAGATTATGGTCATTATGTAGATTCTGATGAGTTTCTATTACTTTCAAAAGAGTTCGGGCTCCTATCTTATTGTTGTGCATATAGTACATTTTTTGATACTTTTTAAGTCAATGTCGTGCTGATCATCAGGAACATGAGGAAAACTGATTTTCGAATTTTCATTTGAACTTTGTAAAGTCATAGATCGTAACCTCGGTAGTGTACGATGGTGAAAGTTTCAGATCTTTTCATTGTTCCTATGGAAAGACACGTTTATAGTAAATGAATGTCTTTTTCATCGTTCGTAGACACTAGAAGATTTGACGTTGTTTATTTCAAGATAGAAACAAATTAAACGATCTGAAACTTTCAAAATAAACTACTCTCTATATAAGTTGTCTCTCTGCAAATTTTCAAGTCGAACATAGAAAACAAGTTTTTCTAACGCTGCTCTGGAACATCACAGTGTTTACTTCAACGTCTTCGCAGCATTAGCTAAGGACTAGAACTCTTTTCAGGCTATTGATAGCTCATTAGAGCCAACATAAAACACATAATCGAGACTAGACATGTGCAAGACTAATATTTGTAGATAGTCGGGATCAGCCCAAGACCAGAACTATGATAGAAGATTTAGTCCTAACCAAACTAAGGATTATAGTTAAATATTCTAAAGTTTAAAGTGAATCATCTTATAAAGCATATCAATCAGAATATAAAATCAAACGAGAAGACCCAAAAAAGTGCTTACTTTTGGTGAGACTTAATCAAGTTTTGAAGGAAGGAGACAATCCTTATGAGACGGTACACTGCAACTGAAAGTTCCAGACGATAAACCAAAAAAAGGTAGCATTTTTTTAAATATTGGAAGCATTCCCTACTCGGAGTTCTCCTGGATGTGTTTGTGTTTTGTATGCTTTGTTTCCTTAGTGTATGACAATTCAACTTTGTTAAATTTATCGTGATATTCAGAACTCTAAATAGAATTTATTAGGTTGTTTATTTGAAAAAGAATTTTCATATATTCATTTTGTTTTGTTATGTATCATAATTAATGATGTCAGAAAAGTTCACATGTTCATTAATATTACGTTTTACTTTCCATGATAGAAAAGAAGATCTGTAAATAATCTCCATGAAATTCATTGAAATACTGTCATGATTATTTGTATCGCAAGATTTTACAATAAAGAAATAATAAAAACCATTTTTATGAATCTTATTTAATATATATAGCCAATGAATAATGACTTTGAAAAGTTCATATTCATATCATAATAAATATTTAAAAATACTATTGGAACCTACCTGCAATAGTATTCAGTTCTTTAATATATTGAACATTCCATGGATAAAATCCTTTAAGTTGACTTTTTACAACAACTTGGCTTGTATCTAAATCTAAAATAATAACTTCTTTTCTGGTAGCAACAATTGCTTGTGATGGATTTGATGAATAATATCGAACATCTTTTGGTGTTGGTAAATCTTTATATATTTTATCAACGATACCATTTATATCAATAAGTAAAAGTGAATCATGATCAAAATTTCCAACTAATAAACGATCATCAGTTAGAGTACAAATACCTGTTGGTGCACCAAATTTGACATAATCATGATTAGAAGTATATGACAGTTTAGATAAAAATTTATCATATTTATATTTTTTTAAATCATAAATAAATGAAGTAGTTGTTTTGATTTCTGAATCATCTGTCACGGATATTGACTCATTGGTCGTTACTTTTGTTTTATTCGAAGTTGACTGCTCAGTTAGATTTATATTTGTAGATGATGATAAAGAATGAAACTAAAATCATATCTTATAAATTTTATTAGTATTTTGAAACTTACGCCAACAGTTTCTTTTGATGTTTGATCTTCTTGTGAATTAATTATTGTTAAAGGAACAGTTGACGGATCAGTCTGATATTGTTGATTTACTGAAGCACATTCATTAGAAATGGTTTGTTGTTCTTGTAGTACAACTAACAATTGATTGTCAGGTGTTTGTATCATACTCATATAAACATTAGACGGTAACATTGGTATGATTTGTTCAAGATAATGTTGTACTGATGGTACCACTGCTTGTTGCAGATCAACAGTCTAATATGGCAAGAAAAAAAAAAAGTTTAAATTTAAAAAATATATTTCTTTTACCGGTGCTGGGCAAAATGCACTGCGGTATTGTCGCACTGTACAACATCCAGAGTTTCCTAGTCTATAATTCTCATTCGTATATGAATTGATTTCAGCTGCACAGTTCAACATGGCAGTATCTAAAATTGAGCGTATATGCTAGAATTCAACTTTGGCAACGAAGATAGCGACATCAACTAAATTTATATTTTTTAAATCTTTTTCCTACTTTGAGATGATTTCATGAATCATTCTTTTACCTAGTTTATTTACCTCATCGAAAGAAAAAAAATCGATTTATTTTAAATAAAATCATTTTAAAATTTTATGATTGGTTTAAAAATAAAACCAATCTAAATTTTAGAAATAGAATTTACATTTTTTATTTTATTAAACATAAACTAAAGAAAGGAAGCTTACTTAAATACAACTAGACCTTTATTTCCTTTTGCTCAAAGATTAAATTAACATGTTTCCTAATGCAGCACCAACGGGATCAACGCGACGAGTTTTACCACCTGAATCTCCAGTTTCAAATTGGAGTGTACTACTATATCGAAAAGTTGAACCAACTCATTCATTTCATTCATATGATGTATCCCAATCACCAATACCTCAACAAGTTTATGCATCATTTTATATTCAACTTCAACAACAATACAATCCATCATCATCAAGTCATTCCAATATACTTCATTTACGATATAAATCCCAACAACAAAAAAATACTGTTGATTCATATACACTTCCATTTACGATATGTCTATTAGATGATGTAAAATTATCACAAGATACCACACCAGTTTCATCAGCAACAGGAACATCATCTTCAAGATTTTATAATGCTGAACAACAAACTGTTCGTAAGTTCGAAGAAAAGAAATATCGAATAAACTTTCTGGCATGACCCCCTTCATCAATAGTAATGTATCAAAACGTTTTTCGACGAAGAAAACTTAGTGCATCATGCACAATATCTTTTTATTAGAGAACTTAGATTTTATAATTTATAAAAATTGAAAATCATGAAAGCTTTTATCAGTGGTGACTCAAAGTAGCCAATATTTTCGGGAGAGGTTGTTACAATTTTTTTTTTTGCAACAGCAGAATATCTTTCTTTGCGATTGAGTCAACACCGATTTTTATATTAGAACATTCTCATCAAATGGAATATATTTTTATATAAAATCGATTTGTTTTCAGTTTCGAGTTTTGTAAGGATATTTGATAATTCAAATATGTAGAACATTTCATAATTAACAATGCTACTTAGGTTTTAGAAATTAATAGAATGAGAATTATTTTTTTTTTCTTTCTTGACTTAGAACGAGCTTTATTTCTATTTGTATTTAAAAAATACTATCTAATCATATGGATTATTAAGAGTCATGGGAAACAAACTATCATAATGATGACAGATGAATCATCAAAGAAAACCTCTCAAAACAAAACATGATTCATATTCTGTGTAGGTGGATTTCATTAATCACGATCTCAAATAAGAATTTCCGATAGAATACTATTGGTTTTTCTATATAAAAATAGCAAATATCGTTAAAGAATTATTTATGTTACGTAAATATTTATTTTAGAGAAAGTTTGTTTTTCTTTAAAGGAATCAATCCACTATCTGATTGTCTACCAGTATCAATTCTTCGTGCTAAAGCATTCCTTGGTATATTAGTATTAAACAATGCAACAAATAGTATCACTGCTAATAGTTTGTATTTAATTATAATGAGAAAAAAAATCATTTATTATATATACTTGTAGCTGCTGGTGTTATTCGTCCATTCATGATCTTTGTTACTGAAGAGACATGTATTGGACGATTATTTGATGCTTATATATATCGTATGAAAATATAAAAAAAAATAGATTTCAAAAAAACCTAATTTTATTTTCATTTTTAAAGGTATTATACAAATTTCAGCTATTTCTATGCGTGATAGTCAAGAAGATGATACTTATATTGCTGGAATAAAGTAACAAATTTATCAGCATTTGCTATTTATTATCAATGCTTTATATTAACTTTAGAAAATTATTTCAAGGACGATGTTTTTATTATTCAAAATATTGTAAACCTGAATCAACTAATAATAAACATTATTTTGATAAACCATATGATATAACATTATGTGCTCAACGAATGGCACAAGGACATGATAGTGATATACGATTTTTTTGGTTTGTTTCTTTATTTGATGCAGTTAATTTTTGTGAAAGATAAAAAGAAGTGTTGAATTTAAAGAGATGTCGGATCAACTTTTCGAACCGAGACTACGAAACTAAGATTATCCCAACTGAAATTAAAGGTCATAGTTAAATATTCTATTGTTTTAAGGGTTCCTCCTTTACCTATATCCTTTAAAGTGTCCTCGATCAATCTATAAAAAAGAGGTTGATTTTTACCTATTTTTTTACAAAATATTTTGTCATTGCATTTTATCTACTTGTAGTTATCTCATTTTTAGTCTATAATCAAATTGAAAATTTTCGGCTGCAAATTTATTGTTAATATTGTACATTATTTTTTATAGTCAAAGCTATATCTAATCGTAGATTGAAATTCATTATCATCGAAATAGTTTACTTTCAGTTTTTTACTCTTTCATTCACTATTTCATTTATTTCCTTGCTTACATTAGTAATAAAATAGAGGTATAGTCAATAAGATGTAGATACTTCGTATATATCTGGTTATCGACATCTGGTAGACATTAAAAACTATTCTTTAAAGGTTAAAAAGTGGTTCATTGAATGCGTGATAATCTAAAAATCTACACAACTTTCAATAGAAAGAAGAGAAGATGAATATTCAGAAGAAAGTCGAAATTCAATTTTGTTTCATGTTTAACATATTAATATCGAAAAAATTTCATTCATAGCTTTTATTTGAAATTCAGGATATTTACTTTTCTGTTTTTTCAAGGAATCGGGGTTTATGTTTGCCATTGCTAAAATATAATATTGATATTCGTTGTTGGATTCCAAAAATAATGTGTGGTGGAATCGAAAAATACGGAAGCCAAAGTGATGATATTGATTTATGGTTAATATCGAGGTAGATTAAATATTTATTTTCTTGCATTTATAAGATTTTTCTTTCTATTAGATTAAGTTGTGAGCGAGCTGGAACACGATTTAATGTTCGTGGTGTTAATGATGATGGTGCAGTAGCAAATTTTGTTGAAACAGAACAAGTAAAAAAAAAAGCAAAAAATTGATATGTTGTTTTTTTTATATAAAATTTTTATAGATTCTTCTTCTCCCTAAACAACAGAGTTATTCATCATTTGTTATTGTTCGTGGTTCAATACCACTCTTTTGGCATCAACCAAAGTTTCAAGTAAGAAAATTTTATTTAACCCTTTATCCTTCTCCGCTGCACGTCGGTCACTGGCATAACTATTTCTAGAACGACTACAAAAAAGAAAGAAAGTATGAGAATTGACAATGATAATAATAATTTTTTTCTTCGCTCAGTTCTTATATTATCTGGCTTACAAAATCAATAATTTTGAAAAACCGAAAAAAAAAGCTTCGAATTTTTCGAAACAAACTGTTTTCGATCTACAATTGATAGAGATCTTATCGAATTTCTGTGACTTAAACCGATGAAGAAGCCTACTAGTATGTTAGATATCTTTCAAACACTTCGCAATAATTCAATAAATTACAAATATAAAGATGCACAATTGACTATGCAGCCACTTTTGAGCAACTGAAGAGAAATCAAGAACAAAGTGATTATATGCATTAAAAACCTCAGCTTATGAGAATTTGAAGTTGTATTTATTATGAATTATGTCTTTAGAGGTTTTGAAATGGTACAAAGTGAAGTAAATACTTATTTAACAATGAGTCCAAAACATGCATTATTTTGATATTTATTTCTATCGAATATTTGCTTACTTTTTCCCATTACTCCAATAACATGGAATGAATGTTGCTTCTGCCTACTCAATAATTTGATCAAAAAAACCAAGCTACTATCGCTTTCCTTCCGAGATAAAAATTTGAAATTCAATGTAGTCTCTAATACCAATCATAGAGAGATTATTGTAGTCTATCTATTTTGCGATGCATTTCCTCAGCATTCTTTTCTTAAGTCTCGAAAAATGTAACAATCAAATAGTTCATATATTATAATGAGACGTTATTTATATACAGTTTGTAATGAAGAGCAGACGTTGCTAACGATATCTATCGTGCCTATGGGGAGAGGGATGGTCGTCCAGCTTTCTACTTCTACACTTCAAAACTATTTTTAAATCGTTTTTCATAGAAGACCAAGACTTAGTATGCTGCTCAGTTTCTTTTTTCATCACATGGCCACTAGACCAATTGAATGCTCCGACATAAAGTATAGCGCGCTATGGTGGATTAGGCCGCACTGTTGGTATATTAGGCAAGCTGATACTCTATTTATGAAGTTATTTTATTAGTGTCTCTACTGAAAACTGCTGTAGGAGTGCAGGCTGAAAGTCTCGTCCCTTTAAAAAAGCTAATTGTCTTCAGAAAAATCGAAATTAAGATAAACGCATGTAGCGATAGAGATCTATAGGTCTGATCTTTCATAAACTACAGAAACTTTTCTTTGACATTTTGTTTTTTTTTGTGCTAAATTTCTTGATGATATCCGTTACTGCTTACAGAATTCTCAACGGAGCTTCATTGCAGGGAACTGATCTTTTTTTGTTTAAAAGTGCATATGAAATTGAAGTGCTGGTTTTTTTAATTAAGTTTTTGATTATTACGGAAGATAGCACTTCTATGAATGGGTCATCGTTTTTTTTTTTTCGAGAGCTTTTCAAACTATTGAACTTGTCATACTTTCACATCTCATAAAGGTTTAGAATTTTAGAAAAGGAGCACTTCAGTCTGACACGCTCTTTCAAATAAAGACAAAATTAAATATATAGAATAAACTCCACAGAGAACAAATCAGCAATTTTTGATTATTGTTGGTTGAATATCTCTCTCGAACATCATGATAGAGGGCTGAAAATTTCATATGATTCGCTTGCATCTGGTTCAAAATTGATCGTTGAGAGAAAGACGGCGTAATAAAAAAAATCATAAAAATGTTTGAAATATTTATTGTTTTACGTTTATGGCTTTCTTTTTCTAGGTTGGCACTCACCGTATAACACTATCACGAAGTGAAGCATTGAGTTTTAAGGCTTTCTTTGAGTAAATAAATTCTTTATTTTGCTTTTTTTTTCTTAAATAAAAATTTATATTTCATAGACATTTTGAACATCTCTATCGACATTATGGTCGTGTATTAATAATAAATTTAGTTGAACAACGTGACCACGAAAAACATATCGGAGATGAATACAGAAACTTATTTAATTTACTTGTTAAAACATATAAACAAGAACAAAATAATATAAGTGAACGAGACTTTGTCTGGTTTGATTATCATGAACAATCACGTTCAGTTAGAAATTTAGCACCTGAACAATTTGTTCAAAAATTATTAATTGAAAATGCACAATATTCTATTGGACATGAATTAGAACGACAAAGTACATTTACTTGGATTGATGGAAGAAAATATAGTTTCCAAAAAGGAGTTTTTCGTATTAATTGTATTGATTGTCTTGATAGAACAAATAATGTACAATTAACAATTGGTTTAAATATTTTATGTATGCAATTAACATATTTAAATAAACAATGCAATTTATATTATATACGGGATCATTTAAGAGAAATGTGGATTAATAATGGAGATCATATTAGTAGAATTTATACTGGTACTGGTGCATTAGGACAACGAAGTAAAGTAAGGATTTCATTTTGTAAAGAAAACATAGTTTAAACTCTTAATCATGGTACTTCTATCAGAGATGTCCATCACAACGATGGTCACAAGTCTTTTATTTGAATGACATTGCTAAAACTGCATAAATTAGCATTGAATTTTAATGTCTGCAAATGAAACACTCTAAAACTCTATGATTGTCATTGATTAGTAACAATAGTTCTAGTTCAGTGAAGTCACAGTCGTGAAATTCGAAACATTTTTGCAAATATCATCGCAGTGCGGCAGCGACAGATTTCTAGTGGCGATGAATATCTTTGATTTATATACATACATACGTATATATGTGAGTCGATTTTTTGCTAAGACTATTTCTTTGATAATCATGAACAGTAAGAAATGGCTTACGAAAGAATCTCTTAGATAGTCCCTTCCGATTTCAATGATTTTTCGTCTTTACATACTAGATAGTGTTCTAATAAAAACCCTAGAAAAATTTAGGCTCTCATTGAGATTTGACTAAGCTATTGATTTTTTAATGTCTATCTTCTAGAGATCTGAGATTTTGAGAAAACTCGTATTTTTCAATTTTGACGTAAAAACTGGCGTATATAGAGAACTCAACTAAATTAGCTACCATAAAACGCTCACAAATTTTGAACAAAGTCTCTTCGGGATATGAAATTTTCAAAAATGTATCTTGTAGCATTCTACTAGGGCTTCTAGAAAATAGATTTAGTAAAAATTCAATATCTTAGTCAAATCTGAATTAAAATCAAAATCATTTTTTAGTTTTTATTACAATATTATATAGTATCTGTAAATGAAAACTAATTGAACTGAGAAAAGCACATCTGAGAAGGTTTTCTTGTTGAGATAAATATTTCATTTCTAAGATATTGCTTCAGTAGATGAAAAACAACCTGTAGCATGGAAAATTCCACAAAAGGAAACACCATTCTTCAGATTCCCGACGATACGGATATTTTTTTTATAGTGTAATCAATAGAAATATAATGAGTTATTAGCAATTGACAACTTTTCAGCATTCGAAACAAGAGACTGTCTGACGTTGTTTTTTTTGCAAATGATCTTAAAGATAAAAAACATTTCAAAACTAAAAATAAGCATCATACACAAAAAAAATGATTTCTGATAGTTGTGTATGACGTAGATGATCTTTGAATTTCGACATGTATATGCAATAGAAGAATCTTAAATCAACACGATAATTTTCTTGTTTTATAATGTTGAATTAATTATCTAATTATCATGAATTTTTTCAATATAATCACTGAGGTTGATACCTTGTAATGTTTCCTTACACTACACATCATTAGTTGATGTCATGCTTTACTAATCCATCTTACCAGAATATGTATTTATCTCTAACATTGACATAGAATAACTCTGAAGAATTTGAGCATTGTTTCAAACTAGACAATATTCACATATCAATTAACATGTTCTTTTAATAATATTCAGTAATTAAATTTTGTATCAATTATACTTCGTTAATTTTTATTGAGCGCAAAATTATATGAAATTGAAAAATATGATTTCTCATAGGCAAAAGATATTCAACGTAGTGTTGGCCGTGCAATACAAAATAATTTGCGTGACGATGAAAAACAACAATCAATGCAAACATTAATTTATTCATATTCAAAAGATTCTTATTTACATGAACGTTCTGTTGCTGCTCTTTTTACTCCTTATGTTATATGTAAATTATTACTATTATTTTTATTTTTTGTTAATGAAAAATTTATAAATAATTAAATTTATGTTCTAGCTGATGGTATTATCTTAAGTGAAATATTGAAAAATCGTCAAAATTATGTTCAAAAAGATACAATTCGTATATCTGTGGGTACATGGAATATAAATGGAGACAAAAATCCAGCATTAGAACATGAATATCCATCAATTCTTGATGCTTGGATGCTTGATGGACCAGAAAATCTAGCATGGAAACCAAGAAAAGCTAATACTATTCCAACTCTTGGTTTGTTTGCAAAAGAAAAGGAATCGTTCAAAAGATTTTTATGGTTTTTGTAATTTTCTTTTAGGATATGTTACTGATGATTATGTAAAATCTATGCCAGATATATTAGCAATTGGTTTTCAAGAAATATGTGATTTAACAGCTTCGAATATAGTTTCAAAAAGGTAAAGAATTCTTTGAAAAAATAATTGAATATATTGTTTTCTAAAGAGATTTTGATTTAAATTAGTTCATCTAATGCAAATCGTTGGGTTAAAAATGTAGAAAATCATCTTAAAAGAAATTATCGAACTCATGAATATATTCTATTGGGTATGGATCAACTTGTTGGTGTGTGTTTAGCAATATTTATTCGACGAGATCTTGCACCATTTGTCAAGTATATTGTTAAATACTTGTACTATTTTTACTTTTTTATGATTATATTTATTTTTTTTTATAGACACATCGATATTGATACAGTTAAAACTGGAATGGGTGGGGCCATAGGAAATAAAGGATGTGTAAGTATTCATTTCCGTCGATTATTGACTATTTATTAATGTCTTTCCAGATGTTTAAGTCAGCAAAATTATGTCGTACTTGAACATTTTTTTTTGTTAGAATCAAGAAAATAAGAAATTCTAAATACATGATGGTTGAAATTTTTACTAAAGGAAAATAGCGTAGTTTTATGTTACTAGTAATCTGCAGACATGAAGAATTTTCCTGTAGCTTATCTTAAGTTTTCGTGTAATGTCAATAAACAGACGATTATTTATCTCATACATTTATCAGCTAGAAAAATTTGCCATACTTTTCTGTTTGCTCTACAGAAGACCTATTAGATTTTGCTTCCTTGACTATTTTACCTACTCAAGGATATTTCAAAGTTGTTTAATATATTTGTAAACTCAAATTCTAGATACTTTGATTGTCTATCGTAGTTTTCTGCTTTTTAATAGTATAACATAAAAAACTCAGTAAGCATTAATCTTAGTTTATCGAGTGTACAGTCAACTAGTTAGAAAACGGATATGGTGCATACTTATAAAAAGAAGTTCAACAGATAACTTAGATTCAGTTTAAGATTATTTTAATTATACCTTGCGTTCTATCTTTGAATATTTCATATGACAAATCAAGTATTCAGAGAACTTTAATGATTTATCTGATTATACTTAGTTTGAATATTTCGAAGGAAATATGATTTAGATTGTGACAATTTGACAGTTGAAGTTACTCTCAGTAGCGAATTCACAAAAGCCATTAATAAATAACCACACAAGTAGAGTGTTGAACTTGTCCATATGTTAATGTTATAGATAGAACCAACAGATATATTTCACTGTATTCAGAATAGTTTATTCAGTTCAGTAATCATTGAAAGAAAAGTAACGATAGAATAATATGAGAATTTGAAATTTTTTCTTCTGCAATTATACTGTTGAATAGACTAAATGAAGATATGAAAAAAAAAATATTTTTAACAGCAAATGTACTTTAGAGACAATTTTTTTCAAACAAATCTTTGGTCAATAAGTAATTTCATCAAGCAGATGAGCCATGAATATATTTACTATGTAATGGATCTATATGCAGAATAGAACTTTCAAACTTTTTCGTCAGTTAAAATACTCTCGAGCATTATTAAAACAATCACATTAGATAAAAAAATCTTTACTATTAATAATGATGCTTAGAATAGTTGTAAAAGAGCAGTGAATAACGATGCGCAAGACTAAGTTTGTCTTATTCCTGTTCTACTAACTTTTATTTAATGGTGTTGCTCATCGTTCTGTTGAGTCTAGTATAGTCCTGATGATGTTTTTGGGTCTCGGCTTACAAGTGAAAGGTTCCAAAGTGTGAGACACCAATCAAATAGATATTTTTCTTGGCAGTAAAGCTCGGAGAGACTAGTAAAATCTAATTAGGGCTGGTCTCGATGCACTATTCTTGTCAATCTATTATAATTTTATTGAATTTTTCATTCCTGGTAAGGTATAAATGAAAAAGCAGAATTAGAAAAGTGTTGCACTTGAAATATCAAATGTTGAAAACTCGAATTTTTCTTGCCTTTTTCTTTTGCACATGATTACTTTTGAATATTTAATATTTCAAGAAAAACAAATTCTTTTGACCATCAAACTTTCAAAACATTCTAAGATCTAAAAGTCTTACTTATGAAAAAAATTTCAAATTAAAAAACCCGTAAAATCATTTTATAGACAAATACCTTATCAGAAATAAAATAAAATTTTAATAAAGTTGTAATAAATTAGGTAGGATAGTGCATGGCTTAGGAATGTTCCCTCTTTAGAGAAAAAATTTACTTCAGAATGTATTTGCATTAAAATCTTAAAAAAGAAATCCTAAATACTTGTATTTTTATTAACTCATCGGATGAATGTTACTTTTTTTGGTTGTATCTTCTAAATTTTGCTTTGATTGATGTGATTTTTAATATAATTTGCTAAACATCATAGAAAATTTTACTATAATATTTAATGCCAGTTAGAACAATTATTTTCTCATAGTTCCAGTACTACAGTTTTCTTGTAGTGAGTGCAAAAGATGAAAAAAAATTAAATATTTAAACTTCAAGTTTTTTCTAAGTTCAAATGTTAAACTATATTACTTTAACTAGTTTATTAAAGTATTATTAAATGTAAAGTTATACATTTAATCTAGTTAAATAAACAATCGTCTTTAGTTAAATTCGATCAAAGATTATTTATATATGTTATAAACATGTTTCTCATTAACATATTATTAATTATTCATACAAATTTACATTTTTTCTTCATGCTATTGTTAAGTTGTTTATCTTAGTTAGGTTTTATTTTTCGGAGTTTTGATATGTAGATAACAACTGAGTTAAAATGGAAATCTATTATTATAGTAATACACAACATCTGTTACCGCAAAATCGATGTGACTTTCTATATAACAATTGTGTTTTATATCTTTAGGTTGCTATTCGTCTCGTATTACATAGCACTTCTATATGTTTTATATGTGCCCATTTCACAGCTGGACAAAATGAATATAACGAACGTAATAAAGATTATAAAAACATTATGGAAAAGCTTTTTTTTCAACCAGTAGATAATTATTTTTTTTTTCTTTTTTGATTCTCTTTTGAATTAATATATATATATATATAGCCATCACGAGCATTATGGCATGATCATATATTTTTTTTGGGTGATTTTAATTATCGTTTAACAATTCCACGTGCACGAGTTGAAAATTATCTACAAAATCAATCTTATATAGAGTTACTTGAACATGATCAATTAAAAAAAGAACTCGCCAACAAAAAAGTTTGTTTATTTTTTTCAAATCAAAATTTAAATGAAATATTTCTTTTAAAAGGTTTTTCGTGAATTTGATGAAGGTCCAATAAATTTTCCTCCAACTTATAAATATGATGTTGGTTCAGATGTATATGATACAAGTGAAAAAGCTCGTACACCATCATATACAGATCGTATACTTTGGCGCAGTATATCTCGTAATATTCAAGCTAAACAATTATATTATGGACGTGCTGAAGTTAAAACATCTGATCATCGTCCTGTTAATTCAATATTTGATGTTGATATTGAAAAATGTGATGAAAAAAATCTCTATCAAGAATATGTTCAATTATATAGAAGACTTGCACCATCAAATGCACTTATTATTTATGATATGCGTGCTGATTTAAATCAAAGAAAACACCAGTTAATAGATGAATTTGATTTGTATGTTAGAAGAAAATATGGATCTGATATATCAATTGTTGATCGATTGTAAGAAAATTTCTTTTTCTTTTTCTTCTTTTACTATTCTTATTTTCTTTTGTTTTAGTTGTACTTCGAATCAAAGATATCTTTCATTATATATGTTTTTTGAAAATGGTGAACATGCTCGAAGAGTTATGCAACCAAACGAAGATCAAGTAAATTATATGAAATTTTGTTCGTTCAAACAAAAAACCAAGAGAGAATGTTGAATTATATCAAAAGAGTTTCCTATAATCCGTTTTAGATATATGAAAATGAAAAGGAAAGCAATAGTGCAGCATTAGTTTTCCTAATAGGCTTTCTTCGTTAATAATCTTTCATATGTCACTAAATCAAACCAATATTATCAATGAGAATGTACGAGCAACACTTTTGATTTCTATTGTTTTTTTTAAACTTAATGTGGAACTTACATATATTTTAAAGAAAATAGTGACTATAGGTTTAAATCGAAGTTTTTGCGACTTCCCATTCATAAGATCTAGCAATCGGAGCTGAGAGCAGGCAAGCCAATAATTATTAAAAGCGTTTTCTCAGCAACAGGACAAGATGCGTCAGTCGTAATGGTGCTTAGATCATTATAGAACTTTCTAAACTCTTCCAAAGGATGTTATGCATCTAAGATTTTTACTATAGATTCTAACTACTCTAAATATTGCACGTGTTGATATTTAACACAGCAAAAGAATCTTATTGAAGATATCAATAAGTAGGACAGTTGTATTATTCATGTAGCGGAGTCAGAATAGAACGGACATGGAAAAGTATCAACTAATTGAAAATTTTCGACAACACTGAACAGTATATGTCAAAGCTTGTTGCGAGCAAGCATGCTATTTTCCAAAGCTTAATGAACGATTAAATCAATGTATATAACAAACTCATATGGTAGTTGAACTGACGAAATGAAGAATAAAATTATATTTGCCGCTTCTCATAACATATATCGTCTATATTATCATTGGAAGAAAATAATTTATGTATTGAAAATAAATCTAACAATGGCAGAAGTTTCTTTTAGTATAACGATGTTAAATAAATCTAATAAATTCGTAGGATAGGAATTCTAAATGCAAACATTTTCAAAATGATAATATTTCAGAATGTGTATGTTAACTAGAAAAATTGTTACCATTTTGATTTGTTCATTTAAAACAACAATTTTTAACCTCTCGAACAACATATCATAAGTTTATAGTAATTAGAGTTTGTAACTTTCCAACTTTGGCTCCTCTTAGGATCGTACCGATAAATTATTTTTCAACGTTGAACAGTACTACCGTAATTAGCCGAAAACATCTAGACAGCTAATGTCTTTTTAGGTTTGAAATGATAGACTATACGGTTTTTTTTTGAAGCAGAAATTCTGGGTATACAGTAAAATCTCGTTGAGAACTCATTATGAACACCAAGAAAGATGTTCTCTTCTTTTTTCATATTATGGAACTGAGACGTTTCCTAAGCTTCTACTGTATGAAATCAACAGATTATTCAACATCATGATAGAAAAACTGTTTTCAGTCATACTTGCAAGCGAAAAAATAACAGTCTAAAACTATTCGAAATATTAAACGTCTCTTCTGTAACATTCAATAATCCATTTATTCCACATATCTGAGATCTACAATATGTCTCATTTTGTAAAACTCAATCAACTTTAAAAGATGAAAGCAAAAGATACCTGATTTCTCGCTGTTCTCAACAAGTTTTTAATGCATACTTAGGCTTTTTGCTTAAAAACTCATGTGCAGAAAATATATATTTTCTGATTTCAAATGTAAAAAGATGTTTATTATATTTAATTTTTATGTTATTTTCGATAGTAGTATTAAAAGTTAGAAAACAATAATGTCACGAAACTATTTATTATGTGTTGTTCGTACATTCAAAATCTTTCAAACTAAAAACGCAATTTTTGAAATTCTATTTGTAATGAATATAAAACTAAGAGTGAAGTTGAAAACGAAATTTTCTCATAAGAAATCAGTTTAATAAGAAATTGAAATAATTTTTATTCGAAAAAAAAAAATTCCATCTAAAACAAAATTTATATGTTTGTTTTTGTTTTTGTTCATTTTAGCTTCCTAGTGGAATTTACTTTAGTAAACGTTTAATAGATTCAAATGAAGATATTGCTTTAACTCAAAAATTAAATATTCTTTTTACTGATGCTGATCAAACAATGGGTTTAGAATCGATTGCTTAGTAAATACATATATATATATATAGCTCTGTTTTTCTTTCAATATCATATTTATTATATCTTATAGTGATCTTGGTGCTTATAAACAACCAGCTCGGGAATCTCTTTCGACATTACAAGATGTCAATGTAACTAATAATGGTAAGAAGTTTGTCTTTTTTTGGTTTTCTATTATATTTTTTCTATTACTTGCGCTATTTTTAAAATACGCTTTGAAATCTCCAGCTCAAACTACATCTTACTTGATATTATAACTTACCATGAAGAATATATCTTTAATTATTATCAATGAGAATTTTTAATCCATTTAAATAAACTACCAATAAAAGAAAAAGATTGGGCTTCGGTATCAATGATTAACATATATATATATATATTTACATTGCATGAAAAAAAATTCTTTTTTTTCTTGCTCGATAATACAAAATCAATAGACGACAATAATCATATTCATTCTACCGTTCTAGTTAATTATATACATCCAAGAATAGAATCATCACAATTTATTTTCAAGGAACAAGATAACGATGAAATTGAAAGACTTCAATTTATCAATGAATTTCAACATAATTGTGAACAATTTCGACGTCATCATAGAAATATTATTGTTACAGATTTAAATGAAAATAAGCATATAACAAATGATTCAATAAATGAATATAATGACATATATTCATCATATATTTCACATGATGAATATCAACTGGACTGGGAAAATAATGATTCCGAATCATCTAAGACTGATTTAATAGAATATTTTTGATATTGACAAAACAATCATGGTAATAAATATCAAGAAAACCATATGGACATATATGAAAAACAAATAAATTATCAACATACTCATAAACAAAAAAAATTCAAAAATTTCTTAAAAAATGAAAAACGAAAAGATGAAAGATTGTCTATTGATATTTTTAATATCGTCAGATATGAACCAAATTGAATATTGTTACTTGCATTAGATCTTCAAAGACCAATGGCATCGATTCAAATAGATACAACATCTGTCCTTGAGAAAAAACTCAGGAGAATCATTGAATAAGGAGAAAATCATCTTGAAATTTACATAAAACAAATAATATAACTACTAACAAAAAAATAAAATATAACAACAATAGTTCACAATTTCAACCGTGAAACTAGTATTCATGAATAATTTCACATTTTAAATAATTTCTTTTATAAAATTTAATTTTTCACATAATTTTCTTTTTTATATGTTCAATTATTATGTTTTTTTTTTAAACTTTTTTATTCTTCTTCTCGTTCTCTAGAATTTCATTCCATAATAAATCAATTTATTTGCCCAATTTAATATATTCTTTGAGAAAACAATTCATCTATTTTTTTTTTATTTTAGGTCCCGGTGAAGAATTGTCATCGATTAGTGGAAATGACACAGACGAAAATTATCAAGAAGATACGGTTGGTCAATTGATTTCATTTGATTCTGATCATCATGCATTATTTGATTTTTCATCAAATAATCATCTTCAAAGTCAACAGATGGATGTAAATAATAAAAAAATAAAATAAAATAACTTGAATTAATTTTTCAAATTTCAGGATTTGTTTAATAAAAACTCATTTGATCCGTATCATTTTTCTTCTCGACCGGTATCAAATAATACTACAACAAGTATCGTACCCATTGCTTTTCTAACAAAAAACTAAATCATTGAATATTTTTATTAGATAGTGATAATCTTTTTTCATTTGATAATCATACACAATCAGCTGGATCGACTTTTTATATTGACTCATTAAAAATGACTTCTACTCCACCTTCTCGTCAAACTGATTCACCGTTAAATACCTTTTCGACATCTTTAGTAAATTCAACAGATTATGAAAACAATAATAATCGTAGTACATTTTATTATCAACCATCACGACAATTTGTGCCTACTCGACCACCACCATCGGTACCTATAACTGCTACTGCTGCACCTGCTTCTATTTCTAATAATGATGTTCAACGACCATTGACACTAGAAAATCTTAGTTTAAATCCATTTAATAATAACAATGAGACAATAAGTGATTTACTCGATTTAGGAGACCCAGGTTCACCACCTCCAAGTCCAAAATTTGATCCCTTTGGTTGATTCACTTTTTTTTTTCATCCTTAGTTTAGATCTTCAAAACTCTGTGAAATGAAATTTATTTGCTTCCTCATGTTCAATTTTTTGGTCATGTTAATTTCTTGATGTGTTATAACACCTACTATCTTTTTTTTTCTTTACACATCATTTTTTTTTAATTTAATTTGTGTGCACATACATTTTTGTTTAGTTCTCATAAATGAGTGCCTCGTTTCTTTCTATCAAATACTAATATATAGTGTATTTACTTATTTTTTCTTAATTCATTCTTGTATGTATGCGTGATTTTATGTGCACACTAGTCGAAATATTCTATCGAGTCATTCCACATATCACTAAACAAAGAAAAAAAAATATTTTTACCGCTTTTCTTTCTTTAATGCATTCAATCTTTAGGTTTCTTTTTTTTCTGTTTGTAGATCAAAAACAAAAATTAGACAAAAGTGAAATTAGTTCAACATGAAATTTGATACTTTTCTTAGTACCATCAATGATTGGGGTAAATTTCAAAAAGTGAAGTATACGCTGATTTGTTTAACATATATGCTTCCACCAATAATGGTTTACACATATACATTTACGGCTGCAATACCAAATTTTCGATGTGTAAACCCTACTGTAAGCATTCCAGATGAATACAATGAAATATTAAATAACAGATTCGATGCTATATATAAACCAACAGCGGAACAATGCAAACAAGTATCAAAATCTTTATCAATTAAAGAATGTCAACGTTGTTTTATTCAATCAAGAACTAATAATCAATCATCTGTAAATGTAACATTAACGCCATGTAATGAATATGTTTATGAAAGAAGATATTATACAAAAACATTAGTCGAAGAAGTAAAAACTTTGAAAATAACAAGATATTTTCTATTCCCTATTTTAATTTTAATACTAGTGGACAATGGTTTGTGATCGTCTTCATTATCGATCAACAGCACAAATGATATTTTTTGTTGGTTATATGGTTGGTTCAATAGTTTTTGGCATGTTGGCTGACAAGTAAAAATTTTAGACTAAAAATAAAAATAAAATTATTTTATAAATTTGTTTTTTTTTTTATATTAGATATGGCCGTCGTCCTATAATGAGTGTCAGTTTTATTTTAATGAGTGTATCAGGATTTTTATGTGCATTTGGTCCTCAACCGATATATGGTTTTTGGCCATCATATGTTATTTTTGTAACAGCACGCTTTTTACTTGCTTGTTCAACACGAGGAATTTCAGTATCTGGATTTGTACTTGGCTCAGAAATTGGTAAAATTTATTGATTATTTTTTTTGTTTCGAAAGAATCTTTTCAGATGAGATAACCATGTTTCATTTGAAAAGCCATCTATATCATGTTGTAGAACAATTTGTTCCACATCAAATAGTATACGAAAAGTTTTATTTTTATCAAGTTTTAACAATTTGAGAAGTTACACACTAATCAAGAGATGTTATAGCAAATATGGATATTATGACTGAAATTATGGCTTAGTATCTATATCTTCAAACCAATCTGTATAGAGTTTTCTTTGAAGTTAAATTAATAGATTTACTATCTTTCGTATCTTTTGGTTTCTATGTTGATTTTAATTTCCCAATACTGTTTTTCAGTGTAAAGACAACCAACCGTACAATTTTCTTAGAAATTATATGTTATCAAGCTCTATAAGTATATCAATTAATTGTCCGCTGAATCGAAACGTGTCATAATCAATCGATGTCTGAAAAAGGTCAATTATTCAATTTCTATGGACAAATAAGTATAGCAGTTTTGCAATAAATAATTTTTGAATGGAACTGTTTCTATTTATTAATAATAAGTTTATCACGGCCTATCATTTGACATATATGGACTGTTCGAAAATGGCAAAAAGCTTTTCACTTTCAGATCCCTAGAAGAGGGAAGTACGACAATATGCAAAATTTCAAATTTTCATAAGGGATCAAGCATGTATTGAATCTGATAGAGTTTCATATTTTAACCACAACCGGCTACTTAGAATCTAAATTTCTAAGAAACAAAAAGTAACAACCAACCTTTGTAATAGTTTATTTCTGTCTATTCTCTCCAGAAATATGGGAGCGAAAAACTGTTTCGCCATTTTTGAAACATTCATATATATGTCAAATGAAAAGATATGATAAGCTTATTGTTAACATATAGAAGTTTTTCATTCGAAGAAGTATTTATTGCAAAACTACGATACGTTTCTATCCATAGGTATTAACTTATAGAGCTTGGTAACACACAATTTCTGAGAAAGTTGCCGCCGTTGTCCTAAAGAGCCATATTGAAGAATCTAAAACATTACGAAATTCACAAATTATAGAAGTTTAGAAAAATGCTAAGATTTTGGATTCTCTCAATTGTTATATGGTTTGTCAGATTGTTACAACTTGATGAAAATGCCACTGCCTACGTACTATTCGATGCGCTATGAATAACTTTACGAAACAGTCTAGATAGCTTTTCAAATGAAACGTGATCATCTTATTCGATAGGATCCTTTATTTAAATTAAAAATTTATTTTAGTTGGACCGAGTAAACGTTTATTAACTGGTATTGTAATTGAATATTTTTTTGCATTTGGACAATTATTTCTTGCACTTTTTGCAAATTATATTCGTACATGGAGAGCATTAACAGGAGCTATATCAATATTTACAGTACCGTTTATATTCTTTTATTTGTAAGCTAAAACATCTTTTGATAAAATTTAAAAAAATAAAAAAAAATGAAAAATTTTATTTAGTATTTTACCAGAAAGTCCTCGTTGGCTTGTTAGTCAAGGACGTTTTGATGAAGCTGAAAAAGTTTTACGTTATATTGCAGCTAAAAATGGTCGAGATTTTGATAAAGATGCTTATGAACAAGTTAAAGAAGAACAACAAATAGTTAGCTTAATGTTTATTTTATACTTAAGAAAATTCATTTTTGTTTATATTGTTTTTTTTTTTAGAGTATGCTGAACAAACATAATCAAGAAGGTGTCATGGGTTTATTTAGATCAAAAATTATGTGTATTATTAGTATTAATCTATTTTTCCAATGGTATTGACGAAACACAAAGAAAAAACAACAAGCATTATGTTCATAATTTTAATTTCTTTGTTTTAGGCTTGTACAAAATTTAGTATTCTATGGTGTTTCACAAAATACAGGTTGAAATTGAAATAATTAAGTTAATAAAAATTTATTTAATGAAAATTTTTCAGGTGCATGGGAGTTAAATCCATATTTATCATTTACTCTTAGTGCATTAGTTGAATTAGCTGCATATATTATGGTACATTTAATACTTGATCGTATTGGTCGTAAAATACCTTATTGTTTATTTGCTATACTTTTTGGTATAGTTGCTCTATTGGTTTTACCACTACAGAAATTCATGCCAAATGAAACTTATAGTTTGTTTTTTTATTAAACTGAAAGGAACATTTTTAAAGACAAAAAGAAATTTTTTTATTTTCAGCTAAGAAAGTGTTATTAAATCTAATAAATGGCTCATTAAAATTTTTTGCATCTGCATCTTATGCTATCATATATATATATGCAAATGAACTTTTTCCAACAAATCTACGAAATACAGGAATGGGTATTTGTTCAATGGTTGCACGTATTGGAGCAATTATTGGAACCTATTGTAATGATTCTTTAGTAAGTTTGAAATATTTATTGATTAAAATTTATTTATTTATTTTTCATAATAGGCTCGTATTTGGGTACTTCTACCTGTACTTCTTTATGGTATCGTTTCACTTATAGCTGCTGTATTAGCTTTAATGTTTCCTGAAACATTAAATAAACCATTACCACAATCAGTTGCCGAGGCTGAAAGAATGGCCATGGCCAGGTAAATGAATCGAAATAATGTTTATTTGTTTTTATTAGCCTTTTTTTTTATTTTTTTTATTTCTATATTTGCCTAATTAGTATTCGAACTGGAAAACCTCAAAGTACAATAACTAATGGTACGGAACGTGAAGGTCAATCATTAACAGGACATAATGAAGACATTATACTCAAGGATCAATTACAACGAAATAATACAGATGATAACCAATTATAACCAAAGAATTGAAGTAAAAATTGTTCTTCTATTTTTATTCGCAGATATTTATCATTCTCATGTGTAGTCATGTTTTCTTTTATTTCATTTGGATGGTTTATTGTTAAGATTTTATTATTCTTTTTTCTCTTTTTTGTTGTTAAAATCTACATTCTATGGATAATATTCGTTTGTCGTGGTTCTTCTGTTTTTTTTTTATGAAACGATATAATCCCTTATATTTCTTTCCATTTTGCATGCCTAACTTTGTCTTCTTTTTTTTTTTCTTGCATGTTCTTAAAAAAATAAAAACATACTTTATTCAAGCCATTGATTTATATGTACAATGTATATAACATTGGTAAAAGCCAATGATTCTATTTTTGCTCTTAGTTTGTTACTAAAACACGACATGTGACCATGAATTACAGGGACAATTTAACAAAAGAATTAGAATATTTGAGTATGTCTACATCGTTGTCCGACCGTGAAATTCGAGGTTATGAATATGCAAACATTGACTATATTTCATTTATTATACATATTCTCGCTCTTTCCCTAGTACAGGTATGTAAGCATCAAATTTCAATTAGATGCGAGAACTTGACATTGTCCTCATCGTTATCGTTGACACTCGATCTGTGTGCATGAGCATGGTACCACCATTATTCTTTTCTTTATGCTCATTTTATTGCCTATTTAAACATAAAGAAAAGGTTCAATGATTAAGTACAATGATATGATGCAATCAAAAGTAGTGATTCACAACAAATTCAGTCGAACTTTTGACCGAAAATTGACAAAAAAGGAGGCTTCCTCTCTTTCTTCAATATTTCTTTTTCTCTCTTCAATGTCTAATTATATACAGTTCAGGATATATGGAATACAATTATTCTTTGTGTGTAGGTACCGTCTTACATATATATGCGTATGTGTGCCAACTGCTACTTTTTTTTTCTTCTTTTTCTTTTTCTTTTTTTTTTTTTTTTTATTTTTAAAGAAGCATGTTGCCGAGGGAGTATTTGTGTGTCGTGTTGAGATACAAATTTTTTATTATGCTCTTTTCTCTTCAAGCTGTCGGCCGACGACATGTAAGAATAAAATAAAACACATTGTGTTTTTTACAATCCCAACACTGAATGTGCGGAAGCCGCAAACCAACGTCTATAGCATTGAAGAAACGTAGAAAGAAAGAATAAGCAAAAGAGAAAAAAAAGAATTGACTGATGACGAAGTGAAATAAATTATCCGTAGGTCTTCCAAAGAGCGACATCATTGATATATTGTTTTCTTCAGTTTTTTTATTCAATGAAAGAAAGAACGAAACTAATAGAGTCTCCTTTTTCTCATTTGAGGACCCCCAAAACGTTTGTTTTTATTATAAACCACAAATTTTATTCATTTGATTATAACTAAATTTGATTTCTTTTGCGCTTCTCTTCTTGCCATCGCGGTAAGTGAACTCTCTTTCCACATCGAGTAGTTTTTTTTTTTTTCACCAATGACACTTTTCAATATTTGTCGGCTCAGTTTCATCTTGGTATATATGTACCGTTTCTTTGCCTTGAAGTAAAATCATTCTTTAACTATTCTCAATTTTTGAACCTAACAATCTAAGAGGAAAAGTAAGTATAAGAATGGCTGACTGAGTGATGTTTTTCTTGTTTTTGTTGTTATTGTTTTCAAAAACAAGTGCTTATGCTTTTAGCTGTACTTCTATATGGATTTCATTCTTCTCTATTCTTTATATTTTTAAATATATTCAGCTTACAAAAATACAAAAGAAAAAGAAATAACAGAGCTGTACACTAAAAACCGTTCGTCATGCTAATTTGCACTGTCGAGCACCACTAAAGGTTACAGACACATACACGAATTTTACCTTTTTTCATGTATGTTTGTATATGTATGTCTTATCTGATTCGTAAGAGAAAGAAAGAAGAGGCCCCTGGATAGTTTCTTTATTCGAGTCGATCGAAGAAAAGAACTCCTATACTTTTTTTACACCTACACGTATACATATATGTTTCTCTTTTGGCAAGTGTACTTGCTCTAAGTCATCAAAAAGAGAAGAAAAATGGAGAAGAACAAAATGACGACCACTGGTGATGATGATGATGTTGGTGTATTTGTTGTTGTTCTTCCTCCACGACGAGATGCACCGTACATAACATATTATACACACTTCATAGAGAAAAAGAGAGATGTAAAGAAGAGGAAGAATAGAGAAGACAAAGTTTGTTTTCTTACTCTCTTTCTCCCTGTCTCCCACTCTCAAAAAAATAAAATAAAGCAGACAGACAGAAAGACTGATTAGTTTTGTTTAGCTGGCGGCGAGCACCTTCACCACTCCAGATCGTATTTCATTATTGACGTAGGTTTTTTTTTGGTGATAGCATTGTTCCGCATAGTTACTATTGGTGAGTATTGATCTGGACAAAATCATGAATTCTTTTTCTTCTTTTTTGTGTACTAAGAAAGTACGTGCAATAATAAACTTTTAAGTGTACGTTAGTCATGTTAATTTGACTCGTTCATATAATGTACATATTCGTTGAACATTGTTTACATATCTTACGTCGATAATATATGTTTTTTTTTAGTCATTATCTAGCCGAAAGCAATCGCATCGTCTTTACTTTCTTCTTCTTCTTCATCATTTCTTTCGTGTTCGCTTATTTTTAAAATGGGACAATAAGCGATAGATAGAAATCATAACAACAAGTATTTGTATCTATCATATTTAACGAAGAAGATTATTATAATTATGACTATTCGACAACAATATGCTAATGAGGAGCTTGTTCATAAGCTCCGTTCAATGCTCAACGATTTACCAACACTTCGTACACGAGCACTTAAAAAACTAAAATATTGGCGAGAAGCAGCTATTAAACGTCTTCTTGAACGACAACGTGAACTTGAAAAAACTCTATTAGATAAATTTGAACGACTTGAATTCGATACACAATTATTTGTTGAAAAAATTGAACGAAAAAAAGCCAATCAGCAACGACGTTGGCAAAGTGAACCATTAGATTATAATAATAAAAGTGAAATTGATCGTATATCGACAAATTTACGATCAATTCGAAAAGAATTAGAACAATCAAAATTAATTTTAGCTGGTAATACTATTGATGATGATATGAATGAATTATTACCTGATGATGTTATACCAGCAAAATTAGCTAGTACATCACGTTACGGTGAAAACTCATCATTAAAAACTCCGGTACATAAAAATTATGAAAATAATGATCTTGGTTCAGAATTAAGACGAGTACTTGAAATATGTACAAGTCCACAACGTTCATCATCATCATTATCCGCCGATGAGGTAAGAAATTGAAGAAAAAAAACGGAAATCTGCCTCTTTTTTTTTGTTTCATTACATAAGCCTTTAAATCAAGAGAATAAATTTCGTTACAAATACTTGAGTGATAGAGAGAGTAAAAAATAACCAAGTCAATTCATTATATATATACAGGTTAAATTTTTTTGTTATGAGAATTTTTGATGTGAGGAGACAAGTGCACTTGTCTTTAAGGATGATGAAAATAATGTCTATTTATTTAGCATGTATATTTGCAAATTTTTTTGCTTCTTTTTTTCATAACGAATAGCGAATGATGGTAAGCCCTTCACTTAAAGTATTGTATATATGTATGTATATATATGCACCTATTACTATTATTATTATTATATAATGATATGATTTGTTTGGATAGTTGAGGTTTCTCCGGCACTGCATAAAGACCTTGCTTTTTAAATTGTATAGTTTGTATGAAGGAACATTAGTTTTGGAATAATATTATTGTCAATAAAAATTTTTCGATAAACATAACAAAGTATTCAAATTATATTTTATCATTATAGGAATATTTGATTAAGGTCATTTTTTTTCTTTTCTTTTTTTTGTCTTCTTCGATGTATTTCTTTTCTCAAGTATTTAAATATGTTCATCGAAATTTATGTAGATGAAGTATGGTTTCATACTACCAAAACCTAAAGTATTATTAACAAAAAAGAAGAAGAAGAAGAAATTTGATGCACATCAACCAAATTTAGTCTCGAAAGCCAAGGTCAGTTTGTAATATATGAATGAATGAATTGGTGATGGGAGAATGTTATCATATCAGTTTCGCTTATATATCGACCTTTGTACATTCAAAAGGCTATTTTCGATAGAGAACGATCAATTGCGATCGTATCAATACTAAAGATGATTATATAATTGTATAGATTATAAATGTCCATATTGATTAAAATCAAAATGATTTTAATTCAAAAGGGCGTAGTATCTCAATGAGTGAATGAGTGAATAACTATTTATCAGTATAGTTGTTGATAATTACCGTTTAGTTTTTTTTTTCTTCGGCTATTTTTAGTTATCACCTTTACCATCAATTGATCAAGCAGAGTATGCGTATGATGCTAAATCAAAACAGACAACGGCTAAAACAAGTAAAACATTTCAGCCAAAACAAGGTTCGCAAACTGTAGGTACACAACGACGTAATACACGTACAATAACAAATGTTTCAATACAACAACCACAACAACAACAACAACAACAACAACAAAATATTTCGACAAGTGTCAATGATCAAAACAATACGAATGATGGAAATAATAATCATAAATTATTTGCATTTGAATCATTTGATGATTCTATAAGACGTTTTCAACGTTTACGTGAAATAAGAAAAAATTTACGAACAAAATATGATGAACGATCACAACAGGTTTGACAAAAACAAAAAGGAAGTTAACATTTTGAATTTTGTTTTTGTTTTAATAATCGTTTAGCAATCTGTTGAAACAATACCACCAACATCAACAAGTGCTATTGAAAATACTGAGACAGTATCCGATAATCGTTCTGGTACTCAACAAAAATCTCTAAGCAATTCTAATCGTCCAATATCAAATGGTACTCATACGATTCCGCCAACACCATTAACTATTAAGTCATCTGTAACGACAAGTTCAACACCACCTAGAAAAAATGGTGAAAC